AAACTTAGCAAGGCTTCCTGTGAGACCATGGTCTACACGGAAGGCTGAAGCTGTAGCATAGCAAGCGTGGTAGACCACCTACCTGCACAGGCCTGGCCTCATGTTGAATGCCCTCCATTGTACTGTGGAAGATTCCACAAAATTTGTGAGTTTTGATTATTGAACAGGAAGAAAATTTTACTCTTTTGAATCATCATCATTTTTCTTGGAGGCTAAACTTTGTTCCCTCATCCCTTTCATTCTAGGAGAATGGATATGGAGTGTATGTGTTACTGCTCTGAACATTTAATTTGGGCAAGGCCAGGTATGTGGGCAGGGTGTGCAGTGGACCATAGGACCCAATGCCATCAGGGATGCTTCAGGGAAAGAGCCCCCGAATTGCCATACTGGATGGTATCTTAGAGTGAACCTAGTCCAGCCTAGCCCATTATATTGATGATAATCTAAAATTCAGAAAAATTAAATATGTGGCCAAAAGTTATGCCAAGAGACAGACCCGTGACTGCAAAGAGGTTTTTATTTTTTCTACTTTTAAGTGCTTTTATCTTTATGTCAGTTTCACAAAATCTATGTCAAAAGGAAAAGATTTTCAGAAAAATCTTTAGTGCTAGGTGTTTAAAATTATTAAGTAAAGGAAAGAGCACTATATTGACTTTCTTTTAAAAAAATGTCAGAAATTATGAGGCAAGAGAAGCTGTGGATATAACTGGGAAAACAAACACTTCCCTTTGTTCTTTAGGGAACTGACTACCGTCCTCCCCCCAGGAACTGCAAAGGAGACTATAAGGAAATAACAAATATTAAGGAAAAAAATCTTTATATTTCAAGCTACAGTTTAAATATCTAAAACAAAAAGATGCCATTTGAGGTGCATGCACATGTCTCTGTGTCTGTGTGCATGTATTTTGTGTATCTGTGTCTTCAAGAGCCTGTGTATGTATGTATCTCTATATTGTGTTTGTGTGCATTTGTATGTGGCCCTCTGTGTTTTCACATGTGTTTGCACAAATGCATGCATGTCTGTGTGTATACATATGTTCTACACCTTTGTGTGTTTTGGTAATTGTGCTCAGGCCCCAGGCACAACAAGCTAATGCACTCTTCACACTGGACAGAGTTCTGGGTCGATCTGTACCCCAGCACTGCCCCTTACCTGTTTTGCTTCTTGAGCAAGTTACATTGTTTTTCTGAATCTCAGTATTCTTATTTACAAAATGGTACCTAGAGTACTTACCAGGAAACAAAAATAGGCCAACCATTATGTTTGTAGCCACTTGGCTCTTAGTAAGTTGAATTAACTGCATTTAAACAAATTTGGGTGTTATTTTATTGCATAATCTTTGTATATATGTTTGTCTCCCAACCATCAATTTTGGACCATAGGACCCAATGCCCTCAGGGATGCTTCAGGGAAAGAGCCCCCGAATTGCCATACTAGATGGTATCTTAGAGTGAACCTAGTTCAGCCTAGCCCATTATGTTGATGATAAATCTAAAATTCAGAAAAATTAAATTAAAAAATTAAAAAAGCTGGCATTGTCTCAATGAGTATTATGGCAACTCCGTGAGTGACTGAGTGACGCATACTTATCTCCACTTTACATAAGAGGGAACTGAGACCTTGTGGGGAAATAATCTGCTCAGAGTCACCCCAGGAGGGATGGAACAGAGATCCCCATCTTTTTTCCAAGACAGCCTGGCAACCACTCTTTCCTTCACCTTACCTTGACCCAAGGCTGTTGTGAAGAGTAACAACATGGTAGTGTGGAACTGGCATTGGCATCCTGGCTGTCTTTACCCAGCTAATGTTTGCCCTCTGCTCTGACACACCTGTTTTGATTTGTGTTGCAGCTGGCACATGATTTCTTAAAGTCAACCTACCCATTCTGCCCTGGGGGAGATACAAGGAAGAAGAAGAAATTCGGAAAAACTCAAACTGAATGGGCAGTGAGTGCTAGCTTCATTAAAAAGTGCATGTGCTGACACATCCTAAAAGCACCTGGTTTTAGGGCTTGCCTTGCAAGTTTTTGACAGCCATTTGACTGCCACACACCACTGCTCCTGGTATTCAACCGGGAAGCAACAGAAGGGGAATTGCTGGGACATGACTGTTTAATCCCTTCCTAATCTCTGGAGTCTCATAAGTCCTTTAAGTCTTCAAATATTGAACTATAAGTACTTGGATCACAGAAACATTATGGTCATAGGAGGCCCAGGTACTGAGCTATGAAATTCAAGAAAAGCAGGAGAATAAAATTTCCAGGGGTTATCTTGAAAATAGTTTGAATATAGTTAGTGCGGAAGTGAAGCAAAACCCTACTTACGAAATTATTACTTTTGTTTAGCAAGGTATACGGACTCAATTTTGCACAGAAAATTACTTAGGAAAAAACCTCTCAGTAGAGCCCTTCAAAGGCAATTTAATATTTTTAATAAGGCAAATTTTTCTGTTTCTCAACTATTTAGCCATGAAATCTTAAAAATCCAATGAAATTCTGTCATCAATAAATGGTGTTTTACAATTTTTTTTTGGTCTGTTTAACAGCCTAAGAGTATTAGCATTCTTTAGACACTTAAATTTAATCCTAATGACAAACAGTGAGCTTTTTTTAAAAACTGCCTTTCATGTAATTTAATCTAATTTAGTGCCTATAAACTATGTGTCTGTTTTTCTGTTAGTTTCTGTCTCAAAATTGTAAATAAGGTCAATTTACCCAGCAACCTACAAATTTCCGAATAGTATGTCTTATCTCCAAGAAGTCATTTAGAAACATAAAACACATTATGTTGTATAACAAATAAGAAAGCCTGAGAGGTTCTGTATTTCATTTATTAACAGTCCTTTAAAAAGATTTGGTTAGGAGCTAGACCCACCATGGAATGATGATACCATGGCACCAGAAGAGGGGACAAAAGCCAATCTGTGTCACTGAGACAGAGGTGGTGAGCAATTTTCCTCACTTTGAAATTTCTCTCTGGGGTTCGAGCTCCCTTCCAAAGCCATGCCACATCTGCAAGACTCAGATGCTTCCCTCTTGGCAGTCAGGTTAACCACAACACCCGCCTTGGGGCGTTTTGAGAAGATTTAATTACACATACTATATTAAAGTGTTTGCAAACCAAAATCCATCTCTTGCAAGGAATGAAGCATTAACATCTCCATAATTGTGTCTTTGTTCTGACCAGACGCAAATGCCCCAGTTTTGGCCTTGTTGGTGGCATAATCTCATTCACTGTTCAAAACCGCCCTTTCCCACTGCTGTGATTTGCTATGGTTCCTGTGAGTTACAAAAATGTGTGATTGAACCAACAACAACAACAACAACAAAAACATTCCACTGCTAGAAAAGCATATTGGTCCTGAAATTGATGGTATCAGCTTGGCCACGTATCTAAAACCGAAGCCCACACACACACTTCCTGTCTTTGGCCTTAGGCTCTACGTTCTCCATGACAAGCTCACCAACCACTTTAACTTATTTGTCTTATTTGCCATCTGATTCATTAGAATGTAAGCTCCACTTGGCCAGGAATATTCCTGTTTCATTCACTGTTCACCAAGAGCAATGAAGGACACATAGAAAAAAAGAATGAATGAAGACCAGTACTTGGCCATTGTACAAAATGCTCATGTATCTGCAGCCAAAGGAAACCCAGAAGCTATTAGGAATAGTTCACTATAAAGCTTACACTGCCTTTAATGTTTCAATTCTAATATGTCAAAGCCCATAAAACAATTTGGCTATTTTTAATGTTTTCTTCTATTGATCTCATCAGCAGTTTTGCCTATTCTCTCTGTGAAGAGGGAGGATAGCTCATGCTTCAGACGCTAATCTTAGATTTATAGAATGATATAAGCTGTATAGAGGGAGTTTCCCACTCCTTCTAGTACAGCTTCAGTGGAAATTCCAAATCCACTCTCCTAAGCAGTTATTTATCATTTAATGTTCATGCATTCCTGTTGTACGCTCAATTGCAAGAAACCTCAGTGTGCTTACAAACAGCACTACTAATAAATCTGCATATAGTTCATTTTTTATCTTTTTATACCACCCTCTGTTGCCACAGTATTTGGGAGATCTGTCAAATTATATTATGGCAGATTGGAGAGAGGAGGTTGTGCTACAAGTCAAGGCCCAATTGCTCGTGACGCTGTTTCCATTTTTACTGCTTGGGAATCACTATTTAGGAAACTCTAGCTATGTTCATCCACGGCAACAGTGGAAGATGAGTCTGTGGGGATCTTGAAAGAAAGAACCGGTGAAGGAACTGAAAAGCAAGGAAAAAAAAAATCCCAGGGTAGTGCTGCTTTCATGATTTTTTCAAGAGGGAGTTGCCTCTCTATTTATATAGTCACCCAGAGAGTGAACACGATTTGACAATACAGGAAGAAGACACTTCTTTTTGTATGTCATTTCCTCCTGTCTCTGACTCTTAGAGTTTGAAAAACATTTCATTTTTTTTTGGCAGGATTTTCCTAATAAAACTCTGTGCTTTGCTTGTACAGAAAGAAACAGAATGTGTTTTTATTTGCACTTTTGGAGCCAGTGTAAAAAGCTTATTTGTTAAACGTTGTGGAAGAGATTGTAAAATGATGCAGATGGTAGTTGGTAAGAGTGTCTTAATGTCTTTTCCTTCTATGATTTTACTTTTTTTCCCTGACTTTCACTTGCCCACTTTGGGCTGCTTTCTGGGAATTTTCCAGACATAACTCTGTGATTGGCTATCAGTGAATCAGAGATACAAAAGGCTTTACATGTAGATTGTCTATTTCCAGAGAGAATGATTCAGGGTAGATGGAGAAGAGTGGCATGTCCAAACCCATTTGCTTCACCTAGATAGGCTAATTTCATGTACAAAAGTTGCATACATGCAAAAAATACGTTTATTTCTCTTGATCCTACCACCTTTGGTGCTTTGCCATAGACTAAATGGCATAGTAGAAAAGCTCCACTCAGGTTGGCCATTTTAACTTACAATTTGCAGAGAAAGGCACTCACCAGCACTGACAGTGATGGCTTCGATGAACTGTTCTCTCCAGCTGTTTGTCCCCACCACCAGGGCCAGGTTTGTCTTCTTAATGAGTTTGTCCACAGTACTCTAGAAAGGTGGAAAGGAATAATATAATAACTGCTGGGCTTGTTAGGACCTGAGGAAATCTAAGACCTTGTTGGAAACCTCAGAGTTATGTAAAGGGTAGCAGATGTTAGGCTCAGAACAACAGTATTGATATCAAATACTTTTCTTTTCAAACACTTTTATGATTATGCAAACAAGCATGGTCTTTTCTTGGAAACATTCTGAAATGGAAACTTCTTTGCAGCACACACAAGCCTCCGTCACTGACTAATGGCCAATGAAAAATAGCCTCAGTGTTTAGAATAGTAGCTGTTGCAAAGGCCTATCCATTCCCCTTGAATGCTTAGTGAACTGGCTTCTCTGCTGGCTTTATCTGTAGGGGGTTGTCTGCAACTAAATTAATATAGGCTTTGCTCAGCATTATATATATATCTGTAAACAATGGAATTGATTGACAGATTCTGAAACCAAAGACTTAATCTTGTTCTTTTGTTTACCAGTGAAATGCAGCCAGGTAACAGAGTCTCAGGTTGCTTGCTGCATTGTCATTAATAAATAGATTTCTTTTTTTCTTTTTTTGGCTATTAGTTTGGTCAGCTTTGTGGCTAGTAGAGAATTCCACTCTCACTCCATTCCTGTTACAAACAAGAAAAGTCAGACAAGCAAAGATCCCTTCTTAAGAGTTAGGGCACATTGCTAATAACCCTGCAAAGAATTTCCCTGTTTTACTAGTGCTGTGCTACATGCCCTTAATTTTTCTTTAGAACTTTCAAATTACTTAGTTTTGTACAATTAGTACTGTCTAGTTTTCTAAATTTAGTTATTGTAACAACAGGTTCAGCCAAGCGTTCACAAGAAAACTAAGCAGATGCACTCAAAGCGCTACCACAAATCATGGCAACTACAGGAAAAGGGGCATTTCCAAGACATTGAGGCTGCTCTTCTCAGAGAATCTACTATATTGACTAGTCTACCAAGCATCCACACTTACTGTCAGAGCATCCTCGAATTTCCACTAATTGCAAGGAGGCAGAAAACATGTATTATTTGTCTTAGGTCAAAATCTGTACATGGTCAATACAGTGTACCTGAATTAATTATGGTTGGAGAGAGAACATATTATCAGCTAACTGGGAGTGAAGAAAATGTGATCTGAGGGACCTGTATGGGAGGCCAAAGCCAATTTATATATCAAGCATGTTAACCCAAGGAGAGTCATTGGAACTGACTTGAAGCATTGAGAATATAATAAACATGAAAGGGCCCATCTCCAGCTGGTTCACTCTGTATTTGTAATGTTATTCTTGGCTAGATTGGTTGTCCTTAGGGTGGTGACCTTTCAGCTTCTAGCCTTATGTCTAGAACTGCTGGTGCCCCTGATAACAGCTGTAATAGTCACTGCTCTTGGGTACAATAACTTGGAGCATATGACAAGTGTCTGTCTTTTCTCTCTCAACTCAACCACATCTCATCAAGCACTGAGAGCATCTTGGTCGATGCCAATTCCCAGTGCTGGATAGAATGAAACAAGAAATGACCTTGATTTTTCCTACATGTAATGGAAACATGGGGAAGCTCTCTCCAAAGCAGCCCTTTGTGCTAAAACTAAAAGGGAGAAGCCCATCACCTGGGAGATAAACAACTGAACAGATAAACTGCTCTGATGTTGGACACAGACTTCCTCACAAAAATACTTGCCAAAGAATAAATGTTTAAGATAAACCAAACTTAACATTGCTGTCCATTTTTACCTGGGGAGTTCCTAAATGCCAGGGATAAGCTCTTTACTGCACTAGACTTTTGAGAGATGGTGAAAACCTCGCCCTCACCAATGGGTGTCAGTAAAGTCATGCTCTTAGTTGCAAACTAGTAGTAAGAACTCAGTGGGCAAAGCACAGGGGATATTGTGAAATGTCACTCAGACTTGGAGTTCTAATACAGTTCTGGGAATCTCAAACATGTTTTTTGGCTATGATCTGGAGAAACTAAATTCTTGAATAAATAATATAATATCAAAATTGATACCTGAGGGTGCTTCAGAAACATGCCCCCAAAGTGCCTTTTAGATGTCAATGGTAATTGTATTGATGAATTTGGAGAAAATGAGAGGAAATAGTATGTTAAAGATATTCTAAGAGGATAAGTACACCAAAGAACCCGACTTATGTAAAGAGGTTGAGGGTACTTTCCAATGCTCAGATTGTTGGAGTGGTGACCAGAGAGGGATTTGGACCCAAGAAAACTTTGCTTCCTGGGAGACTCACCCAACCCAACACTTCCTAAGGGAAGTCACTATGATTGCTCTTTCTGTCATGGGTACATGGAAGGGAACGATTGGGTACTGTTCCATAAGGGAGAGAACATACAATTCCCCATGAAAAATTTGGCATGGTTGGGGACAAATTTGCACCAGAAATGACAACCCACAGAATCTCTGCTGCAGCAAATAGAACCAGATGAAAAGAAGGTGCATGAGGAAGAACAAAGTTGAACACACCTAGACACAAGGTGCTGGGGATTGAACCCAAAACCTTATGCATGGTAGGCCTGTGTTCTACCACTGAACTACACTTCCATACCCTATAGGAAACTTGTGCATGTTCCACTCATGGATTTGCAATGAACAAGTTCCAGATCATATGTGATGGGCTCTGATGATCGGAGTCAAGTCTAGAAAGCATTGGCTCTAGAGTTTATTCTTGTCCCCTTTCTATGAAAATGAGTGAAAGGAAGTCCTAACAGATTATCACTGACCTGAAGAAGAAAGTTTAATTGCTTTATTTTCCCCTTTATTGTGGTACTGAGTTGCATCCCCAGCACTTTTTATTATTATCATTTTTTTTTTTATTTTGAGAAAAGGTCTTCCTAAATTGCTGAGGCTGGCCTTGAACTTGTGATCTACCTGCCTCAGCCGCCCAAGTCAATGGAATTACAGGCATATATCACCATACCTGGCTTAACTGCATTTTTTTTTTACATTTTAAGAATTCCATTTTAATTGCAAAGACATCTTTCTCTTTTTACCTGTTTCCTCTCAGGCACCTCAATTTGTGAACCAAAATTAAAAGTAATTAAGAAAATCAGCTAAAGGAAAAGAGGCCTCTATATAAAAAAAATCTAGATAAAATACTAAGGTTTCTAAGCTGGTGGCTAGATTATCTCTTTTGGTAATTTTTTTTCTGATTTTTTGAGCAGAAACAGTCTGCTTTTGAAAAAAATTAGGGATAAAACTGCTCTGCTCAGGGTTTGTAATTCTGGAATTGAAGAGAAGGGATGCAGCTCTTCATATCCCACTGTATATGTGACATGTGGTTCCACTTGTGGTCTTCTGAGATGTTAGGACTGTGGGTGAGAAGGAATGGGAGGTGATGTGGGGTTGAGGAAGTAGTTTGGTGATTGACAGGGAGTTTCACCTCCAAGTTTTAAGCTCACTCCAAAATCCATATATTAATTTCTGAATGACTTCCATCATCCAGAAAATTGGGGACCCAATTTTATCAGCTCAACTATAAAATCTGTGGCTGCAGGCACTATAACTTAGTATGTTGACTATGCTAAACATATTCCCGGGCTGAAGAGGGTGACTAAATATGAATGAGAGCTTGTCAGTGGGAAGTTATATAGAAATATCACAATCTACCTCTAAAGCAAAAGCCTCTTAATTTTCAGCAATGTCAACACTTTGCTTCTGACAGATTCATTAGAGCCTCTTTCACAAATTAACACACACCTTAACAGTCTCTTGGTATCCACCTTTGTGTCCTCCTTGCTATCCCCTCAGACAAAACCTTTTCTCTGGGGCATCTCTGACCCTGTGAAGTGATAGATGCCACCTGTGGGGCCCTGGCTCTGAGGCTGCTTGGAGTCTACAGGGACTCCTGGTTCCCTACTAACTCCATAATTTCAATTGGCTCTAAAGGTCTTTTAATGAATGATCCAGTCCCTGAAATCACATCTCCCTCTCCCTCTAGGTGCATCTTATAGTGGGGCCAACACTGTGAACCACCGTGTTCCCAGGTGAGCAGGCCTCCAGGGTGGGCATACCTTGAACTCATAGGACTCTTCAATGATCACTTCCAGCTTGGTGTGCTCTCCTAAGATGGGCCTTCCCAGCTCGGCAATGCGCCTTTCCTCTTCCTCTTTGCTGGTCAGCGGCTGTTTGTCATCACATTCCTCTGGGGAAAGGAAGGCAGGACAGTGAACAATGTGCTCCTTTTTGTTTGGAAATCCCTGGATCCTGCTACAAGAAAACCAAGGAGGGAGGAAGGAAGCCCTATCAACCTACTAAAAGTCCCTTGGGTAAGATCGTGAAGCTGGAGGGGAGGACTGGACAGATGCTTGGCGACTGGGCAACACATCACTCCGACAGCAGGTGATTATGTCCCAGTGTCTAAGCTCAGGCAAAAGTGCAGATGAAGAAAAGTAACACAGAGGGGCATGTCACTGAGAAAGACCCTGCCTGCACATTGTCTGGGAATCACCCAGCTGTTCTCTGTGATGCTGGCTCAGCTGGCTCTTTGTACACATTCCTTCAGCATGTGACCAAAGGGAAACACACACAATTAAAAGTCCTAGAGTAACCCTGGGATGGAGAAATTTGGCTTTCTCTTCTCCACTTTCTAGAGGCAACAGAAAACGCCCCAGGGCCAAAGAAAGGATGGAAAGGAAATTTTGAGCTTAGCCTCTCACTAGCCAAGAGCCTCTGTCACAAATTAAGCAGCACAACATCCATTCCATGCTTCCGTGAGATGTATGGGCTCCAGTGCTTCCTCTCTGGTGCAAATGTGTTAGGAAAACCTTGACCATGTTAATCTTAAGTAAACAGGGAGGGCAAGGGTGAGGCCTTTAGGGAGTTAAGACTCACCACATGAGCTTGATTGTTTCCAAAACTACCATGTAGCTTACACTCCAGGATAGGCTAGTGGGTGCTGAGGAAATGTTAATGGAACCAAGAGACCATTAATGAGGGGAAGCTCATAGTTGACTCTCTCTGCATCAAGGTCATAAGGACCAATCCTGGACTGAAAAGGCCACGTACATGTGGAAGACAAACACTAGCCCTTTAATCATCCCTATTCTTTAGGCTCAGGATGCTGGAACAGGATAGGCTACTTCCTCTCATGTCAAGAGGAATGAACGTCATCTCCAGGGAAGTAGCAGTGGTGATATGGAAAGACCTCAGCCCTAATGCTCTCACCTCTAGGACACCCAGAAAAATTGCCTGCAATAGGAGTCTGTGGTCTCAGGAGTTATATATAAGGGAAGGACTTCTTGCCCAGAACTCTTGTATTTGCATTTAGACATCAGCTTCTGAAGGGGTCTCTACCTCCCACTCCCTCTGAAGACTTATGGCTTCCTCTCTGCTCAAGAATCCTGGTGCAGTAGCTCCAATTGTTGCAGAGAATGGTCCCTAGACCAGTTACTTCTTGCAAAGGTAGGAGACAAATGTGCCAAATGAACTGCCAGCATTTTATATTTCAAGTGTCAAAACAAACAGAAGGCAGGAGCAGAATGCAGTGCATCAATGAATTCTTTAGTGTATATAAATGATATTTTTCAAATCCACATTCCTATCCCCAGTGATTACAGGATGTCAAAGAAATCAGATGAAGACTTAAAATGAGTGATTTCTGACTGGGCAGAAGCTGTTGACCATTAGCAGAGGCAAAGAAAAGGAACAAGAAAGAATTAATTTTAACTGTAAGTGGTATTTTTTTTTTGTATCAGCACAGGGACATTGTGATCCAAGGAAAAGCAAAGGGTTCTGGGGGTGGGGATATCCAAGACTTGTCTTTGTGAAACTAAGTGTGTCTAGTCAAGAGGGGTCGACTGAGCTAAGTGAAGTTCAATGTATCCAGTGCTCAAATCAAACATATTTTGATTCCCATGACTTTATGATCCTTGGACCATTGGTATTGTTTACAGCAGCAGGTTATATTAGTGCCTTTGTTCAAAACCTTGGCTCAACACAGATGTATGAAAGACTTATGTTGACAAGGACCTATTTCCTTACAAGAAAATTTATGACTTGGATATCTGTTTGAATACAAAGTTATTGAGGGAGAATATTTATTGTGGCCTTATTTTCTATAGTTTACTTATAAATGACAAGTTGCTTTTGATAGGACTAAAGATAACTTATGCAGAAAAAAACTGAGAAATTATGAAAGCAAGGTGATGTGGTAGAATGGTTTAGTGTAGCGCTCCACAAAATGAAACTGATTTGGAACATGAGGTATTAAATAAATAGACATGGGAGTAAATGAAATTGAGTGAGTAAAAAGATACTTTATCAGTAATCCTCAGCCCTTCTGATTATAAATACATGCTTAGTTTGATGCTCTTAGGTCTGTAACTATTCCCAGCACTTGGGTTTCTAATGTTTTAAGATAGAGAATATAGTATCTAGCTAGAATTTAACAGCATTTTTTCCACTGTAAAATTTTACTTTGTATTTATGGAAATGACTGTTCTCCTTATGCTATTGACTTAAAGTTTTCTTTTAAAGCAAATTTAGTAAGTAAAACATGATGCAATTTCAAACAATTTCATTAAGTCAATAACAGCATAGTTGGTATGCAACCAAAGGGAAAAATTTATTAAAATGACAAAAAATTTAGGAAATACTGTCTTAGCATATTTCACACTAACCAAAAGCAAAGTTAAGGCACTGGGTCTCTCTCATTTCTTACATTCTTACAACAAACTGTACTTTTATTCCATTATCAATATACCTAGAAAGGCTTTCCTATATCTATCTACTTAAATCCTACTCTTCTTTCAAAAGCATTCCTTTTCTTCCATGAAATATCCTCCAATTGACAACTGGGGTTTTAGCCATGACCACATGAACCTTTAATTAATTATTTAATATTCATTGTGAATACAGAACCTGAATACTCTCATATGCTCTTTTTAATTTTTAAATACCTTTATATACAAATATCCAGCGAGTAGGCTTTCTGAGTGAGAACAATGTGTCTCATTTCTCCTTGAATCATTCTTACATCCTCCAGGGTCTATACAATGTATGCAATGTAGTAGGTGCTGAATAAGTATTTGTTGTGAGGCTCTCCGTTAGTAAAATATTTTATTTGCTCTATCCATAAAAATATGGATCACATTTATTCTTTTAACACATGTCATTGCACTCCTACAATAGGTCAGCCCTGCTGTAGTCCTCCACATAAACCTCCCATCTTCCAAAAACTTATGGTGTAGTGGGAAGAGAGGCATATAGATGAACAACTTCTGGTACTGTGTGGTAAGGGCTGAGGGACCAGGGTGGGAGGTGTGATTAGCTGCCTGAGGGAGTCAGGGAAGGCTTCAGGCTTCAGGAAAGTGTGATTGAAATTGGCCTTGAAGCCTGCCAGGTGGAAGTAATGGTAAGCATGGCCAAGAGGCAATGGGGTGAGGAGGTGCATTCTGGGCAAGCAGAAGTCAAGGTACAAGTGCACAGCATCATGGAAGGGTCAGGGCTGTTTTCACTTGCTAAGTATCATGAACATTGAAGGTATAGTTATATTTATGCATAATTGATATGTCAGCTGGATAAATTTCATCATTGATCTGCAATGATACTGATTACTACTTATGGTCTAGATTTTTGACATTGGCAAAGAAGAGAGCTGATTCTTTTTTTTTTTTAAGTGTCTCAGTTTAGATACTTTTTATTGAGTAGGAAAAAGTTCCCTCTACCCCTTGGATCAACTATAATGTTTGTTTCCTTTCCACTTGGAGCACTGGACCCAAACCAGCTCATTTTAGTGTAGTCAGGGCCAGCTTATTTCCTCACTTACGCCAAGTGATAACGTGCTTTGGTCTTAGTTTTGTTTCTTAGAGAAAATTAATTCTCTTTCTCTCTCTCCTGTCTTCCCTATATATACATGTAGACTTTTAAACCTCACCATATTTTATCGAGAAGTTGGGAATAAATTACATTAACATCATAGTTCTTAACCAACCCAAACAACATAAAGATAAAATGCATAATTAGCTACCACTGTTAAAAGTCAGTAAAACAATTCTGTGATAAAATTACCAGTGGGAGAATCTCCCTTATCTTGAGTGGTTGATTTTACAAGCAATAAATAATAAAAGCTAATAGGTCCAAGATCTAGGAAAAACAAAATTATAAAAAGCTGCTTCTAATGCTTCCTGGTTCCAGGTGCATTTTGAAGCAGAATCACTGTGAGGTGAAGGGGTGCAAGTGGGCATCCTTTTTAGAGAACAACACAGCCCACATGGTCTATCTCATAGTAGAGATCTCTACCTGAGGAACTATTATTGATATTCTTTGGTATAGTCATAATTTTTTATCTTAACTATTACGGTTTAGATATTAGGTGTCCCCCAAAAGCCCATGTGTGAGACAATGAAAGAAAGTTTAGAGGTGAAATGATTGGGTTATGAAAGTCTTAACCTAATCAATGCATTAATCCCTGATAAGGCTTAAGTGGGTGGTAACCATAGGCAGGCAGACTATAGCTAGAGGAAGTTAGTCATTGGGGCATATCTTTGGGGTCTATATTTGTCCTTGGTGAGAGGAGAGCTCTTTCTCTGCTTCCTGGTGTGATGTTCTAACATGCTCTTCTGCCATGATGTCCTTCCTCGCCTCTGCCCCAGAGCAATGAAGTCAGCCATGTGGACTGAGACCTCTGAAACCATGAGAGCCAAATAAACTTTTCCTTTTGATCACAGCAATGGAAATACTGACTAAAAAATTAACAAACGATGTGGAATTGGGAAAAGGGGACAAAGCCAGCAGTAGAACACTTTGTTCAATACTATTTGGGTTCTTCATTCAGAACTGTAGTGACAAGTCTGAAAGCAGTGGTCACTTGACAAGTCTGGCTGGTCTCTTTAATGGGAGCTTCCAAACATTGATAGTTCTATTTCTTTGAGGAAATTTCTGGAACAGTTTTGTAGTCAGGACTGGATTTCATGATTATTGGATGGGATGTGGGCTGTGAGGTTGAGGAAAAGTCCCGAGAAGTGCTTCTACCATCATGGCTAGTGATGGGCAACAGTAATGATTGATAAGCAAAATCCCTGTTCTCATTCAGAGACTTAGCTCCAGGAGATGATATCCAGCTTAAACCTAGAGTAAATCTGGTAAAGTTGCATAATCCCCTCATCACTCTGTCAATGTTCCTTCATTTCTTCTAAGGAGAAACCCCACATATGTACTATCATCTGTTCATGAGGAAATTCAGGATCTGGGAAGAAATATGGCTTGGGATTTTAAAGAAATTTTATGATAGCTGGGATGAAAGACTGGACTCCTGGGTAAGAAGAGATATTGGTGAGAAATATGGAATATTGAAACTGGAGAGGCCACTGGATCACATTCTCTATAGGTCTAGGCTGCCACCTCTATGCTACTGGTCTTCTGTTCTGCCCTGATGTGGTTGGGTTTTGTTGATAAACCATGGCATCCCCAGCTTCCAGAGATGCCACTGCATTACTTAGTAATGCTTTAGAGGGGACAGGGCAAAACCACATGAATCTAAAGACCCAAAGAACACTTGAAGGCTGTGGTTTCCAAGGACTATAATGAAATGAGTACCTGCGAAGGTGATTACAGTAGAGGGAATCGGATGTTCTCTAGCATGAACTTTCCTGAAGACAGGTTGGCCTAGCAAAAGGATAGGCAAAAAGATCAGCAGAATGGATTACAATCGGTTTGCTATCAGAGATTTGTGGAATTAGTAAAGTAAACCACATACCCAGAAGCACACACTATAAGCAATGTTAGTTTAGGGCTTGAGTGGTTGTAGGTCACCCCTTTACAGGTAACAAGAGGGAGCTCTGGTAGTAACTGATGGAGGTTACTGCCCACAGATGGAGCAAGTGCATGCCCCATGGTAAGGGGTATGGCCATATTCCTGCAGCTCTGTGAAATGAATCCAGGTTCTTCAAATGACTGCTTCCAGAGGCATCATGAAACAACAGAAAAGCATTGATACATTGACAGTTGTTTTGTTTCTAAAGCCTATGAGTGCCAACACTATGAGTTGACTAGGCCATTTCTCTAGTTTCCCCCACATATAAACTGTTGATAATATTATCTGCTCTACCTCACAGGTTTGTTTGAGGGTGGAACAACATCTGGGAACATGCTTACTGCATTTGTTTCCAGAGCAGTCTGATTAGGAGAATGCTACTCACACTTGCCAATTGCGTAAGGGTAAGTCATCATTATGGCACCCATTGGATTAACCAGGTCATGGATTTTCATTGAATTCCTAATTCAATTGATTACCAGATCACCTGCTGTTTTCTTCAAACATGAGCTACCCAGAACTGACCTGGGAGTCATGAGACCTAGAACTGAGTGCCAGGTCTGCATGTGCTTGCCATGTAAACTTGGACAAGGCATTTTTCCTCCTGGAGACTCAATATTCTCAAATGTAAAATGAAGCAAACATGACAGGCTTTGTTCATCTAATCTATAAACTGGAGTGATGGAAGTATTTCCAACTGCTAGAATTTTCATAGTTTGACTTCCTTAGAAAGATATATATCTTATTAAGTCTGTTACATGAGCATAATAGGATTGGTGGAGTAATATTAAAATGGTATATTGGGTGCTATATAATTTTAATTAGGAAATCCTATAGCTACAAGTCTTAGAAGTGTTAAGGGAAACCAAAAACAAATACCTCTTTATCTTCATATTGAGCCAGAGTGCTGAATTTTCTTAAAAATTTATGTGCTTATTTCCCCCCTTTTGGGGTCTCCCTCACTTGTTTCATTCGACTAGAATTCATAATGACGGTATTTACAAGACATAGCTGGGCTTTGGATTAAAAAGGGGCTCAATGTGTAATTTCAAGATGCAGGTAGAAATAAAGGGGTTGGAGGGAGGAAATAGAATGCTGTGATTAGGACAATCATTACATGGCTTTTTCCTTAAAGTCTGAGGGCCTGGCTCTGAGTCTTGAAAGGGTGATTTGGGGTAGAATAATTAATATCTTTGAACCTTTCACCTCCCCTCGAAGTAAGAACAATAAAAACCATAAGAATGGTGATAAAATGATATTCATTACAAACTCTAATGAGCTATAATGTACAGACTGTTATCAAAACAACTGGAAGGTCAAGGGGGAATGAGATCATAGATCCAAATAAGGGCCTTTCAATGAGGCGAGGTCCAAAACAACAGGTAAAGATTTGCAAATTCCAAAAATACTTCTACCACTTTATGTCCAACACTAATGAGATCTCTAAAATATTAGTATTAGGCTGTGGACCAAATTGCTTTTTCAATTTCCATATAGCCTGCTTCAAATTTAGACATTCGCGCTTAGCTGTACAAGTCCTCGTAAAAGCTGCAGGCCAGTCTAAAGGCTAGATTAATTCTTCTCTACTTTCCCTTCGTTTCAAAATCTTGACTTCAAAGTCTCAAACCAACTTCAAAGAAAAGCTCTTTAGGGCTTAATTCTGCTTTTTTCATTGTATAGGCCCAAGTTTTAGAACTTTCCTCGGGGGCATCTGTAAAGAGAGAATCCTGGACATTCTGGTCTCTTTCAGAGAAAGTAGGGTAATGTAAAGTGAGACAGTGTCTACCTAAGTAGAAATGGACAGGCCAACATAGAAATTCTCAGAGAGTTCTAGAACATTCTCTTGTCATAACTGTATTCATTTTGAGTCTTGGGAGGAAATAGTAGCAATAGAAAAAAATGCTATTTCAGATTCTTGTTTCAGTCATAAGGAAGGACTTAGTGAATGACTTGAAATGATAGAAAATTTGGAAAAAATGATTCTGTCATCTAGGATGTTAGGCAGCTAAGGGAAGAAACATTGAACATTACCGGGTAGATTTGATAGAATTTGATAGGAAACATTTCTGGCAAAAGAACATCAGGATTTCATTACCTGAGATACTAAAAGGGAGAATTGTTCACTGGACATGAAAGGCAGGCCCTAAAGTGAACTTCTAACATATTCAATGATTATGAAAAAAGGAGACTAGCTGAAAACATCAATGCATTTTAACTAGGCATTCTATTCTCCCCAGATTTTAAAAAATTTCATTGGTGCACTATAATTATACATCAAAGTGTGGGATTCACTATGCCATATTCATACACAAATATAACATAATTTGATCAATTTCATTCCCTAGTATCTTCCCTTTTCCTCTCTTCTGCCCCTTCCCCAACCCACGTGCTTGACTCTAGGAGTCTTAGTTAAGATCTCACTATCAGGCTGCATAGGATTGAAGGTGTGCTAAATATATATAATTTTGAGCTGGGTGGTGCATGCCTGTAATCCCAGCAGCTCAGGAGGCTGAGGCAGGAGGATCTCTAGTTCAAAGCCAGCCTCAGCAACTTAGCAAAGCCCTAAGCAACTCAGCAAGACCCTTTCTATAAATAAAATATAAAAAAAGGGCTGGGGATGTGGCTCAGTGGTTAAGTGCCCCTAGGTTCAATCTCCAATACAAAAAAAAAAAAAAAAAATATATATATATATATAAATATATAATGTGTGTGTGTATGTGTGTGTATACATATATATATTTTTTTCCTATAATGATTAACTTTATGGAACTAATTTATGGAAATAATTACTTCCATCAAGTCAAAAGGCTGGCTTGCCAAATTTCTACCATCCTCATATCTCTCAAGGGAAACTATTTCATCCAGGGTGACAGAATCAGAATACTTCCAAGAAGACCTCAAAGAGTTAAAATGATGAGATGAGCAAAAGAAAATAAAAGTTTTTAAAAATAAATGTAAATTCCTGCACTTGGATTCATAAATAACTTCAGTGGTGCAGAAATGGGGAGATATGACCTGGGAAAATTTCAAAATGAATGAGATTTAAGGACTCCTGTATAAGGACTTTTCCTGTTTAACGTTTTTATCCTTTTCAATTTCTATGTCTCTGAGAATCTATGAAGCATTTTATGGTCAAATGTTGTGTCTAGAGAAGCAGTGGAGAGCAACAGTCCATGTGAAATTGCCTATATTTATGAGGTCCCACTTTGGATACAATTAATTTGAAACTATGTGTTCATGAATTAACACTAACAGTGGTTTATAATAACCACAACACCCACAATTGTGTTTTCATTAAAAGAGATCTTAATAATATTTCCATCTAAATGCTTTTGTTCAGCTCTGATTTAAACATTCTGATAGCTGCATAAGAAATTGGAAAAGTTTTATATTTGTACATTATATCAAAAAAGGCCATTGGAGATATATCTTCAACCTGCAGCTTCAGATAAATTAAAACTACCATTTGATATTCCTCTCCTTTTATATCTGCATAGATAATTCTGTAAAGGTAAGAAGATATTTAGGGTCAAAATAAGATACTGTGGGGGAATATCTTTAATGTGTACACAAGAAAATAGCTTTAGAGTTATGCTAAATAATGTGATCAACACAGGTTGATACCAGTTCAAATTTAAAAATCTTAAGCTTCCTGACTGCATTTAAATTTTTATAGAGCACTTCAAGTGAGATACATTTCAAGCAGCAGAAATATCATTTACCATGTTATTAATATTAGAACTAGGTCCCCAAAGAGGGGTTCAGATTGATGTAGTGGGTTAAAGGGAAGGAACTCCTCAGTTCTCTCCTAGCCTGGCACTATCTATTAATAGTATCCTAAGATTGGACCACCTTGTCACCTCCAATGTTTTTTTCGAGGACAGCAATTGTGCTTATTTTAGTTTTACATATGGCATCTATCTGAGTGTACTGCACATTATCAGTGCTATGTGAGCATCTGTAATTTGGCCAGGTATCAAAATGTAAATAAATTTTCATACAAATAAACACAGCACACACACATGTTAATTCATAAAATGTTAAATGTGAAAAATCAGCAAGAGCACACCAAGTGCCATAGTTCAATGTTAATTCAGGTTACATAAGATGTGGGTTGGGTTTGATTTTTAGAGTACTTGGGGAAAAATGGGAACTTGAAAAAAAATACTCTTACCATACAGGTATTTTCCTTTATTAAAAGCAAATAAAAATAAGAAATTAATTTTTAAAAATAGTAACATATTAGGAACAGACAGTAAAAAAAATAGGTAATATTAGACTTTAAAATTCATACCTGTTATTGTGAAGCCACCTAAAAAAGGAAAAAAAATAAATGTTACAATTTAAATTATAGTCTGGATAACATATACCAGTGATATTTGACTATCTGACAACCCACCCAAGGTAATGGAAATTTGCCAAATTATATTCGCAATTACAAATATGAAAACATCCATTCATGATGGAATCACTAATTCCTTTAAGATTGTGGAATTTTAGTGCATAAAGTTAATTCTGAGGCATATCTAAGAAATCTATGGTTTTCAAAAGTTAATACTAAATTAAAAATGTAATATAAATTATTTGACTCTAACTAAAATGAGGCCAATGGCCCTAAACAACAATCTTGTTAGCAATTCAATAGAGATAAAAATCAGAGAGCTACTATATTACCTAACAGAAATGGAAAATAACCCAGAAAAATGGAAAGGAAATGCAAGAAATGAAGTGCTTACCAAGCTCATTCAATAACAGGGCTGTGAAGGAAACAGACAAAGACAAACACAGAATAAGAGACCAGATGAATAATGAAAGTAAGAGGAATATCAGCAGAAAGAAATCCAGGCAGATCTGATTAGAGTGGTTAAAAAAAACCACTGCTAAAAATTTGGTGCACCCAAGGGTACACAGGTGGTGTTGGGAGTACTTCCAAATTAAAGATCCAAACAAATAGTTCTGTAAATGTGCATGATTGATGGGGGAAAAAAATCACCTTATGAATCTTTTTTTTTACACTTAACAAGACATTTCTACTATATATGCTTATACACAGTGTATATATCTACAAAATATAGTAGAAAGTCAAATGAAGTTAATCCTTTGCTTGACTCAAAGTTGTTTTCCTCATTAAATGTTGCCTGGGAATTAATACAGCATTTGGGAGTCTAGTGATCCAGGATCTCAGGTATCATACATTTTAATCAGCAAGAACAGATAAAAGATCCTAAGATGTTCCCTTAGACTTCCCTGCCTGCCAGGACACTCTGACCCCTTTTTCTGGTACAGCCCTCTTTCTGGACATGCTACTTGGATGATATTTTGGTCCCCATGGATTGCTAAAGTTTCAAAAACTCTTAAATCCTAAGAATCACAGGAATTGATACTTATTTGTGTGTCCTCATTAGTGATTTCTGCACAAAATTAGATAACCGGATATTTCTAGTGGATATAGAACTCCATAGAAACTGACAGGGCAGAGAGGGTGGAGGAAGCAAATAATTTTTCTTTGAGGTTATATCCTTTAAACCCGGTCTGGATGGCAGTACTTTATTTTAGTAAAAGCTACCTGGCTAAATATAAATGGCTTTCTGAGCTGTAGATAGAAATGTTACAATTGCTCTTTTAGGTCCAGTTTTCTCAGTAATGGTAGTGGCCTTAGAGGGCACTTTCTATAACAAGTCAGTAATTTTATTTATAGTGATAAGAATCCACTTGGCGGCAAGAAACTGGGTAGCGCCATCAAGGAATTTTAATTTGCTTTCACATGAAGGCATATTTTACTAAAATGACAATTGAAAGAGCTGTATCCAAGATGCTCTTCCTTGAGATAAAAGACAGCTCTTTGGAGGAATACATTTAGAACTAAGTGCTTTTCTCTGGATGTTAATGAGGCATTTTTGATCCCATCTTTATACGACATCAGCACAATTTTATGAAGTCTCTTCTCCTTCTGCTTACTGCCTATGGAACTTATTAAATAAGCTGCATTCAAATGGGTCCCAAGTGCTCCTTTATCCACCATTCCAAAGGCTTCCATTGCCATTTTGAGCTTGATTAGGTCAGGGACATGCCCTCAAGAAAAAAAAAATAATAATAACCTAAGGGACCCTGAGGTCAGTGAGTTCTCATAAATGTGAAATTAAATTTCCCCAAATGTTGGTTCTATATATAAATAAGTCCTGTGAATTTTATTTTTTCCTTTACATGTAAAAGTAAAAACTTCTTGCAGTGTTGTTCATCTAATCATCTTTTACACTGCTCTTGCCAATTGTGTATATATAAAAAATAAGAATTATTAGCATGTGGTATGCTCATTTTACATATGCAGTTGAATCAACAGGACTTTTTATTAATATGGCCACTGTTAAAAGGATAATCATAGGGAGTCCTAGTATTATTTCACAATAAAAGATTATATGTAAGGCTGAAATAAAATTGCTGTTTACCCTTATCAAATCTAGGCCATGTAAAATAGATATGAATCAAAGTTAGGAAAGAAAATTGGCTCCCTTTTCAAATATTTTCTACAACAATACTTATGAATAATCAAAATAGAGTTATACGGATACTGCTGCTTAATTTTTCTTTTTACTAGACAAATCAAAATTTATTAATTCTATAATGATCAAAAGATTTTAGAACATAAGGCTATATAGACCTTAAGCCAGGGTTAAAGTTTTACCAAAGGACCATGTCTTTCCATCTAAAGTAAAATGTATATGACTATAGTTTCATATGTATGGCACCTTTAAATGTCATATTTACTACAAAAAATGCCAAAATGAGCACTTGAATATGGGTAACATTACTTTTTAAGGATCTTTGTTCTTATTAGTTTGTTTACAAAAGACTGTGTTCTTTTTACAGAAGCCTAATTATTGAATTCTTCTGAAATTTCTTATTAGTTGCCCTTAGACTTATTTCTTGCCACTAATAGACATGAAGTAGTTTTTTTCTTCTTCCAGCTTCACTGAAGCACAATTGAGGAGCTATGAAATAGTCTCTATCACTATCGTTTTAGGGGAGATATATAATTGTAGCCATGTTTTAGAATGAACTTTACGTACTGAAAAACTAAGCACGTTCTTTAACATCATCGTTTCTGAAATCCAGAAATATCTAGTATTTATGAAACCTGATTGTAATCAAGGTTAGTCCACATTTCCTGTGGAAAATGGGCACTGCTTAGTGCACTTGTGAGTCAGGGATGGGAAATGAACCAGCTAAAGCTTCAGAGGCAATGGAGTTTAGTACTTGGAAGCCGAGGAAGAGGAGAGAGTTAAGTGTGAGAGTAGGGAGACACGGAGAGAGAAGAGTACAATTTCTCGCTGGTATGTCTTTGTATACTCTCACACCTTTCATTCCTCTTCTTATCCATTTTGGTTCCTCAAGCACAAGGGAGAAACTGCACTCTTTCTCATATTCCTCACGGTCATATATTCTAATGGTAATGATCTTCCTGTGGGAACACAAGACAAAGGCAAAACAAATGGTTGGAGTCACACGCTCATGCTCTAGATGTCCACCAGGCTGGATGTTACTGTGATGTTATGGAGGGAGAACTCGCAGCACATGGACCTCCAGACGTATGTAAAAGGGCATCTTGGTGCTCTCAGCTGGCCCCCATTGAATTTTCTGTGCTTATGCAGCCCTTGCATGAATTCTTCCTGCTTGGGTTAGCAGTCCCTAGGTACCCCAAATTAGGAAGGTAAATTGGAAATCTGGCTTCATTTTTAACATTGCCTAGCATCTGTATCAATTTTCCCAGAAATGCAGGTTTGATTGACTGCACTGGCCAGTAATTTTTTCGACCTGGCCCACTGTAGCCCAGCATGAGATCTATGCCCTGTTACAGAGGTGGAGGGATGTGTGCATTGTAAGTCATGTTCTGAAGAGTGCAGGCATCCAGGGTGGCACAGGCCAGCAGAAGCTGTAGGGCTCAGCCCTGGAGCAGCTCCCCCACCTTTCTTCTCACTCATCTCCACCAGGCGGGGCTCTCCAATCTCAAGGAAGAAGGTCTTGTTTTTCTCATACTCCTCATCATCAATTACCTTGACTGATATTGTTTTGCTGAAATAGAGAAGAATAGAAATTGACGAACAAGGGGAAGAGGAAAGAGAAGGAACATAGAGAAGAGGAAAGCAAGGTTAATACGTTGCACTTCTTCCAAACAGCAATTGAGAAATGTCTGTATTTTTGAGTTTTTTCTTCAAGAATGGATATCAGCAGGTCTGAAAGACTAAAAAAGCCACCCAATGCATATCTCCCTGCCCAGGGCCACGGAATTAATCTGGACAATATAGTACTCAGTACTAATAAGTTATCATTATCATGAAAAGGAAAAGCACAAAAATACATATCACAATAATAAAGATAAATATATTTATTTAAGAAATGCCTTCACCATCAGGTTATCTGAGCTGTGTCCTGCTAGTCATTCCTTTAGAATAAGTCAATAAATTACAACAAAATTTTAACAGAGTTAATCTCTGAGCAATAGGCTGGTGGGTCACTGTTTCTTTCATGGTGCTTTTCTGATATTTCCAAGCAAAATATTTTGTATCATAAAATTTTATTAAAATAACAAATGTACAGAAGCATCACAAAAGAAAATATTAAGTCTTTTACTCCACCCAGTGTCCTAGAATCTAACTCTTATTCAGGTTAAGCAGATTTTCCACCTCAAGCACAACAGGAAGTTATTCATGTTTTGTTTGTCTTTCTAAAGATGGAAGCTGTGGCCTCAAAACAGCTGTTTTGAAAGTGGGGTGGCAGTGATGTGGGTGGGGAAGACTTGTGCTATTGTAGTTATTTTCATTTCTCCCAAAGTTGAGTTTTGACTTTCACTGAATATACCATTTATACTACTTTCAAACTCTACCTATGGGAGAGAAACACCAAGGCATTGGGAAAAAGAGATAACCCAGCCTCCAGCAGTTCTGCTTTGTGATCCTACAGCTGTGATTGACAGACAGGCAGGTAGGACAAATGCAACTATTATGCAAATTCCAACTTCCAGTAAGCCTCCATAACTCTGAAAATGAATAAATCTATTGTTATCTTTTAAGTAATTAAGGACCTGTATTAGATCATATTCAAAGTTCCCAGATGCTGATTATTCTTTGAAAAAAAATTAAGAATACTGGCCCAAACCACTTCTGATTATAGTTTTTGCAACAATATTTCTGTATAGACACAAAGTTTTAATGGTTTGAATATTCTTTAATCTTGGTTGAGTTTTCTAGGTCTTCAGGAAGGAAAGTGGTTTATTGTCTTGTTTTTATTTTATTGATCAAAGACTTCAAGTTTCATTTAGACTTAGGCATGCTAAGAACATCTTTTCTAGTGTGAAGTTAGTAGTTGCTTTTAATTTTTTTGTTTTTTTCCAACCCCCAATGGACAAATGTTGAAGTCTTGCTTTCTTGGCTTAGCATTGTAGAAGTGAAATCAAGTGATTGATTCTGGTTTTTGGAGCCTCATAATATAACTCTGTTTTCCTCAGCTCCAGATCTTGCTGCATGATGCTAAAGTCCTGATTTCTTGCTCCTAAGAAGTGGAAACTCCTGAGAGTGCATTTTCTCTCTCAACTCTTTCCTCAAAGACTAATACTAGATTAACAGTTATAAATGACAAAAGCAACAATCATTTATTCTAGAAAACTATAAATGAAGTATGACAAAGTCCAAGTACATGTATACTGTGAACAGTTCCTGTCTAAAATTTAGAACTAAGTTTCTGGAATTCACCTATTTATTTTGTATATATTTTAAAAATCAGTTTGACCTGACTAACCTGAGATAGTTAATTATTTATTCATATCTGAAAAATATAAAATATTGAAAGAAGCTAAGAGGACACATGCAATTATACTTTCTATTTCAGAACTGAATTTGATTTTATAAATTCGATCAAATTTACCCTACAAAACCTAACAAATGTCTCTTTGTTATTAAAATTTATGCATTTTAGGTATTACTTTCTACCTTACTGTCTTGAGATCTTAAAAGTATAATTGTAGCTGGGCACAGTGGTGCATGACTGTAATCCCAGTGGTTTGGGAGGGTGAGGCAGGAGGATCACAAGTTCAAAGCCATCCTTAGCAGAAGCAAGGCACTAAGCAACTCAGTGGGACCCTGTCTCTAAATAAAATATAATAAAGGGCTGGGGATGTGGTTCAGTGGTTGAGTGACCCTGGATTCAATCCCTGGTACACCTCCCCACCCCCCAAAAAAGTGTAATTGCATATCTTTACTGAAGCTACCAGCATGTAAGACCAAGGGAGTGAGGGGTATGAAAGGCCATACTACTCACCTTTGGACTGATAGCTCAACATTCATTGTCAAGGCATTTTATCATGGGATGCATTGAACTGAGACACCTCATTGTGAGAGTCATGTTGCAACATTCTTATTGTATTACTTAAAAATGTTTCATCTTTTTTTAACCAGATGTGTTTTTTCCCCTTAGAAAGTGAACCATAAAAAATGTGGCCATATTGAGAAATACTTTAATGTTATTATAAGACAGAGCTGCTTTGCTAGTTTTCAAAAAATTTAACTTTAAAATACATTGTTTAAGTATTTACATAAAAATAAGTTTTCCTCACCTATTTTGTATCATTGTGGTAGTTGAAAAGAGTGATACCAGTGTGTATTCCTAGCCCACCCTGTGTCTCCTATTTCATTGATTATAGAAATAAAGAACGCAAAGTCAGGATGATTGAATGGTGTTACCAGTGGGATGAGTGTATAGGGAAGGTGCCAGTTTTACGCCCCCTGGGCTATATAACCACTTATTCACAAATGAACAGAAACAACTAAACAAAATATTGTTTCTAATCTCTGGAGAATAAAATAGAATTTAATTCTCTATTGTTGTAATAATTTTATTTTCTATACTTTGAGAAGTGATAAGTGTGAGAGTTATACAGCCCCATATAATTTGTTTGCATAATGAAAGTAAGCATTTATATTTTATCTGGAGTATCAGTATTCACTGGGCTCATAATCTTCAGAAAATATTCCAGTATTTGATAATCATGAGACAGGCAAATGAAAGATGAAGAAAAAAGTACATCTGTAGGTGCCTTGTAAAGATGTCTAAAATAGATGGCATTTGCATAATGGCATATCATTTCAAAGTCATCAGTAATGGAATCAATAATGCCCCTGACAAGAGGAGCCATTAAATTATATATTGATTTAGCTTCTCTTGCACAGTAAATCTATTAATAGGAAACATGATTGTTAAAGGACATTTCAGTCTATCTAAAGTGGCAGGATGAAGCAATCAGTCCTTATGAACTAGCCCTCTTAACCAAAAGAGGTAAAACCAGAAGTCAGGGTAGTGTTATCATTTGCATCTGCCTAGAATTATTTTTCCCCAAGTAAGGATGAATGAACCAATGTCATTTTTAAAGGAACACATCCTTGGGATGCCTTCTTCTCACCTTCCAGAGCCTAATGGATAAAGAAAATTCTACTGCCACTTCTTTCATCACAGCAGATGTTACAAGAGATGGGGTTGGTTTGATGAGGACTCCAGGTATACTGGGGTGATAAAAGGCAGAGGTATGCCTCTGTTCCTCACACTTGTACAGTAGAAAGAAAATCTCTGGGACTGAGGGAACTTGAAGATCCTTCAGCGGGCCTCATCATCACACCAATCCCATGTCAAAGGAACTCCATCTCCCTCATAACATACATCCATGATGGCTGTTCTGTTCACCAACAGTGAAGCAGTCAAATAGCTGCTGTTATTTCCTTAAACTGACAGGTTAACAACAACAATAAAAAAGACTGAAACTGTTTGGTAGATGGGCTTTTCATCCAAGTATGACCCCTATATTATTATTGCACTGAAAAGGAAAAAAATAGGAAAACTGGTATCATGCTCTTTCAACCATCACAATTATTACAAAGAAGATAATGAAAACTCAATTTTTAATGTAACTACTTAAAGTTGAACATTGTACCATAATTTTTTTTTCTGGAAACTAGCAAAGCAGTTTCAAATCTTATGACAGCATTAAAATATTTCTCAATATGGCCAAAAATTTTATGGAAGTACATTTTGATTCCATTTCTAGAAAAAAATTAGTTAAGAAAGATAAAATTATTTAGTGGAAAAATACTGATCATTTCTTTTGATCTTTGCAGTACCTTTCATGTGAGGATACCAAACCAACATCTACACTTTACTTTTCAATCTTTCTCTCATCTGGTGGGTCTCCAAGGACCCAAGAGCTTCAAACAGACTAAGAAAGACTCCTTAAATTTAGTGGTGATTCAGGCACTACTCAGTGAGGAAGGAAAGAAAGACCTGGTTTCATGAGTAGAGATGGAAAAAGAAAATCTCTTCAAACTTTATTTTAGTCTCTCATTATTAAGGTGAAGTGGTAACAGAGTCTCCTTTTCAATTTAAGCCTCAATTTGTCCTACTAGAGTTTCTTATCCCTAAGACTCTCCTTGATGTTGGAAGAAAAAGATGAGCTGGAGGATTAGAGAGAAGACTCCTTTCTATATCCGTACACAAAAGATTTGAGCCAGGATTGCACATATTTAGGTGCTGCAATAGCTTTTTTGTTTGTTTTGTTTTTAAGAACTTCCTTTAGGCATACTCTGAGGTCAATGGAATGATGGGTACTTTGAACTTCTTCAAAGGTTCCAACACCTAGGTAGATTATTCTAACAGCTAAGAAATAATAATTACTATCTACAATTTACAGAGAAAACAATGACTTTCATTAACTTCCAGGGTCACAAGGTGACTAGCTCCATGTGACACTCAATCAACCATCAGCTCCCTTATTCATTCAACTGCACAGTTTTTTTTATGACCACTTAAAAAATCTAGATCATTATTTCAAATTAATAGAGAGATTTATTTAGTTTTATATTAACAAAGCCCACCTATATATATGAACAAAAATAGAATTTCAATTCTTTTTTTGAAAGGATTGCAGTACATATTATATTCCATAATGGTCACCTTAGAAAGTTAAATCCTTAAGAAGATACAGGTTTAATTGAAAAGTGTCATAAACATGTAGAGGCTCACTAACCTTGAGG